AGGAAAATCGTCGATGGGCTTCATTCAATCTTCGGGTGCCGACCGCTGTATGTATACCATTTCCAGTGTTTCTCAAAGTCCAAGAATGACATATATTCAAATCAATCAAAGGGAGATGAACATAGTCTATAGAGTAACCGTTTACATCGATAACAGAAAATAGCTCTATAGATTATTTCCACTTACTTTTGATTGATTTGAATATATGTCATTCTTGGTTTTTGAGAAACACTGGAAATGGTATCCACACCGCGGTCGACACCCGAAGATTAAATGAAATTTGGCAGAGCGGACAATTAGAAGAAGGTTTTGTACTAATCAGTTTGTACGAAACCTTTTTTGAATTGCTTTCGAAAGGTTTTGTACGAAACCATTGCTACGAAACCTTTTTTCGATTTTTTTTAAGAGGGTTTGTACGAAACCTTTTTTTAATTGCTTTTGAAAGGTTTTGTACGAAACCATTGCTACAGAACCTTTTTTTTTAATTGTTTTGAAGCGGTTTTATGCGAAACCTATTTTCTGCGAAACCAATAAAGGATCTTCCCGTGTATCCGCGGGAAGGTCCTTTTTAGGTTCGGTAAAAAACCTTTTTTTTTAGAGTGCATGTAGTAGTTGTAATGATGCATGGAATGGAACCATATCAAAAAGAAAAAGAGAAGGTACATAAAAGAAGTATTACAATTTTCTCAAGGCTGATTCATCGTTTTGCAATTATCATTTCGCTGTTTTTTTTTAAACATAGAAAAATAATTGTTTATGCAGCTATTAGGCCATTTCGAATGACAAATGAATTAGATAAGTATAATTTTATCGTTCTTTTCTATCGCAAAAAGGTGCTTTGTGTTTTCTATTTTTTTTTGTTTAGGATTGTACTGTTCGTTGGAATTTATATGCACATATGGGCATACAATCAAAGTTAACACCTCCAAGCAATGTGAAAAGTCAAAATTCAGAGATGTGAACGTCCGCTCTATAATTGATATGCTCATAATGGCCGAGATATTTTCTCATAACTAAAACAATTTTTTTCTCTTTTCCGAAGGCACACATTTAGCCGGCGTAGGGCACGCAGGCATGTTGAAGCTGTGTGGAGCAATGATTTTACCGGCGCCCGTTGACGAAGACGTAGACATACACCAGATATCAAAAACTATGATTGTTATAAAAAGCCAGATGTTGTTTTTATCGTAAAAACATTTATTGATTTATTTGCACAATAAACAATGGAATGCTGTCTTTTCTTGCTCTGGCTATCACAGAGAGTATCTTCTAACTGTGTTCAGCAGATGCGCAATCGAAAATAACCTACAAATATTTGAAATGAACAAAAATGAATGTAAACTAACATTGAAAATCGCTCAAAACCGCTTTTTCTAGAAAAGGGTTCCAAAATCTGTTTTTTAAAACCCACCATATGTCTCTAGCTAACAAATATAACAGAACATATATGTGTTTCTCATTAGCAACCGTCCTCAAGCTTATTGACTACTGTCACATCCCGTAACTAAGGAAAATTTCTAAAAAAACATATATTTCTACTACTGCTTCCAGAAAACCGCTATTTTCACCGTTAGTAGATGGATGGTAAGGAGTTGCAAATATATGTGTTACGCCGAGTTGTTTAAAAATTTCAGTCGTAATCGCAGCCGTAAAGTGCGTGCCTCGATCAGTGAGAATCGCGCGAGGCGTACCATATTTGAGGATAACATCATGAATCACGAACTTACTAGCAGCGAGAGCGGTACAATTTCGAACCGTCTTTGTAATAACATATTTAGATAGAATATTGGTTATCGATATGATATACTTGTGATCCTCTCGACTGGATGGTACGATTGGTCCATGAAAATCCATAGCCAGCAATTGCCAAACACCTTACGGTGGTGTTATTGGCTTTAATAAACCCGGACTTTTCTTGCGCTGATGATTATTTTGTAAACACGGAATGCATGATCGTATATGAAGACGAATATCTCTTGTTATTGAAGGCCAATAAAAACGTTCTTGAATTTTCCTCGTAGTTTTAAATCTGCCAAAATGAGCGCCATTAGCAGGTGTATCGTGATATATTCTAATGATATTAACACGGAGTTTATGATCTGAAATATATGGAACAGGTGATAGAGGATATGTTTGTTGACGCATCAACATGCCGTTATCGACGAAATACTTTTTATACTTATCAATATTTTGTATTATATGTTGTACACTCACATCCAATCTTTGTTGGCTTACAATATCATCCAACGTGAATGAAGGGATTGGATCAGTATGTGATATGGATGGCAATTGAGTGGAAGGATGAGACAGCTCCGCATTATCACTGGCATCCCTATATTTTTGTATATTCTTATTAATACGGTGTTTTTTACTTGTTCGAGTGAATATCCGAGTCGATGAACCATCCTTATGACCCAATGAATTTATCCGTGCTGTTGTAGCTCTAGTAGTAACAGCATTAGTCGTTATGGTAGGGCGTAAATAATCTGTTTGTGTAGATTTAGATAGTTGCGTAGGGAAATCATCAATATCCTCTTGATAATTTCCAATTGGAGATCGTGATATATAGTCAGCCACTGTATTTTCGTTACCTTTTATATGTTTTATTTTAAAACGATATTGTTGTAATTTTAGTCTCCATCGCTCACACTTGGCATTATGCTACGCTTGGATGTTCAATTGCAGCAATGGTTTATGGTCCGTTTCTAAGATCAATTCTTGTCCGTCGAGGTATTTATGCCATTTTTCGATTGACGACAGAATTGCAAAACATTCCTTCTCGGTTGTAGACCATCTTTTTTGTGTCGGAGAAAATTTTTGTGAGTAGTAAGCAAGAGGAAGATCACCAGTAGGATATGTCTGTAATAAAACTGCTCCTATACCATCATCAGAAGCATCAGTTTGCAATTTAAATTCTAAATTATTATTTGGAATACGAAGAATAAGATCTGTAGTAAGAATTCTCTTTAATTCGTTAAATGTTTTCCGATCCTCTTCTGATAAAGTAGTCTTCTGAGAAGATGGTCGTTTGCCTTGTTGTTTCGTCCGTGGTGCATATTTGTAAAGTGGAAGTGCGATTAGAGAAAATTCACGAATAAATTTCCGATAGTATTCAGCAGCTTTAACGAATCTGAATGCTTCTTTAGCCGTATTTGGTTCATTAGTGGCAAGAAGAGCTTGGATTTTTTTCATGATCTGGTTTGATATTACCGTGATCTATTTGATGACCTAAAAATTTAATTGTCGATTGCGCTATTTTGCATTTGTCGATATTTAAACGAAAGTTCGCTGTATTCAGACGAGTTAAAATGTCATCAATATGTTCCAAATGTTCATTGAATGATGATGAATATATAATGACATCATCGAGATAAGCTAAACTATATTTCCACCTCGAATTACCTAGAATATTATTAACGATACGTTGGAACGTAGGCGGACCGTTTGTGATGCCTTGAGGTAGAACTGTAAATTGATATCGACTGTCTCGTGTTGAGAAAGTAGTCTTTGAACGATCTCGTTTATCAAGCGGCACTTGGAAGTAACCAGATTTAAAGTCAAGTGTAGTGAAAAAATGCGAGTCTGAGAGTTGGTCAAATATATCATCAATGCGAGGTAATGGAAAATGATCTCGTATTGTTATTGCGTTTAGTTTTGTGAAATATACACAAAATCTATGAGTGCCATCCTTCTTTTTTACTAGAACTACTGGCGATGACCAAGGCGATATAGATGGTTGAATAATTCCTTGTTTAAGAATTTTTTGAGTTTCTGTATTAAGTAGTTCTTATGCTTGATTCGATTGTCGATAAGGTGGTGTATACATAGGTTTATGATGACCAGTATCGATTGCATGTTTTAATGTAGTTTGTATAACCGATGGAGTACGCAGGTCGAAAAGTTTCCCATGTCTCCATAAGACACGTTTTAGGCTATTCAGATGTTTTTTATTTTCAATATGACCTGTTAAATTATCAATATATTTTCTCATTTCCTGTGGATAACAGGTAGCCTGTAAATGGAATTGCAAGTCGTTACCTGTTAGAAATCGTTTACAGCAGACATAACATCGATGATGTTGATTATCATCAGCTCGTGAAGAAAAGCAATCCGGTAATTGGATGCTCTCGTGACGTGGTTGATTAGGTAGTATCAAACAAATACTAGGTGATTGATATGAGATGGAGCCAAGTTTTGAATTTTTCGGTAGTGTTTGTGAACGTTCGGTAGCATTAGTGACGCTAAGTTTGGTCTGATTATTTTTTATATAAACTAAAGCATTTACTGCAAATATAGACTTCCGTTTGAAATTATTACTAGGTTCGAATAATACTCGTTTCGTTCGATTCCGCATTGACGGTATTGTAACATCTATCATTTGCTTACTATATGGAGATATAGTTACCTGAGAAAGCAACAAAACTGGATGTTGTAATTCGGTAAGATCGAGAATAGGTGTATTAGTTGTACGACCGTTTGAATGGTTAAGAGTTAGACATTGACGATGGAGATCAATAATGGCTTGGTTATTTTTTAGCCAATCATGACCAAGCAATAAATTAGCGATAAGGTCTGAAGCAACATCAGCAACAATAAAGGTTTTGTGACCATTAGCTTTTATTTCAAGCTCGACTTCACCTATAATGTTGACTGATGTACAACTAGCAGATTGATATGTTTTTTTTTAAAAAGAAATTTTTTATGATGAATTTTCTTCAGGAGTTGTTCATGAATTATAGTAGTGCATGATCCCGTATCGACTATGACATATTGAGAAACATTATTTATTTGAACTTTAATATAAACAGGAATAGGAGTTGATTTGGTTGAAGAAAATAATGATGGCTTTTAATATTGGACGGAATCATTGCCATCGGCTGATTCCGCTAAAAGAAAACCTGTGGACAATCAACTACGCGGTGTCCTCTATGTCCACATTTAAAACAGCTATCAGGTTGACGTTGATAACATTCGATAGTACGGTGATTCCTAAGACCACAGATAAGGCATGGCGATAAAGATGTTACCTGAGGTTCTTGAGATGAGTGTATTCGATTCTTTAACCCATAACTTTCCGAAGTATTGTTGGTACGAACAGGTTGATGATAATTAGAATTATCATATACAGTTGATTGGTTTATTGGATACGGTTTCGATAAGGGTGGTATATGATTTGTATATTGCTTTGCTGTTGATGAAGAGTTCACAGCCGATGTCATCATATAAGATTGAGTAGGTTGATTAAAGTACGTATTATTAGTATCCAAAGATTGATTCATTTTTTCGACATGTTCTTCAATTTTTGCAAATTTTAGAAACGTTTCTGGTGTAGGATCATTGTCCGTTAGCATTAATCTGGTTATATTCGTTTTTATTTCATCTCTAATACCTTTTTGAAGAAAATGTAATATCATTTGTTTCGACATTTTAGAATCAATGCGACGACACAATCGACAAACAACATCATAATAATCATTCACTGATTCATGAGCTTCCTGTTTTCGATTGTCTAAAGTGCTAAACAAAGTCTGCTTCAACCATGGTTGTTGAAATCTTTCTCGAAGACAAGTTCTCAATATGGGCCAAGTATTTAAAGAATTCTGATTATCTTTATACCATCGTTCAGCTTGACCACTAAGTTTTTCTTTTAACAAAATATCTAGTACTTCACCTGGTTCGTTTGTTAATGAACCTATATTTTCGATTCGTTCGATGTATTCATCAACATCTTGAGTGAGGTCACCTGTGAATGATTGTAAATTACGATGGGTCTCTTTCTGAGCTTGTAACAAAATAGCACTTGTGATTGTTCGATTTGTCTGAACATCAGAAGACCGTACAGTAGTTATAGAATCCGATTCAATCATTGAATTGGATTTCATATTAGCCTTTCTTTCAGGATAGTCGAGAGTATTGCCTGAAAATAGAGTCGACTTATCTTTTATTTGAGATCTTGTGCCGGTCGCCGTTTTTTATT